CTCCTCCTCCTCCTCCTCCTCCTCCTCCTCCTCCTCCTCCTCCTCCTCCTCACCCTCCTCACCACCTGCCCTCCTTCCACCCTGCTCCCCCCTCTCCCCCCTGTGGCGCCCCCCGTGGCAACTCCGGCGCCTTCTTCTCGCTGCGCCGGTCGGCCCGTGCTGCCTCCAGCCGAGGGCCAGGGAGGCCCCGTGGCCTCAGCGGCGTGGAGTCGCTGCTCGGGCAGGCGGTGGAGCACCGCAGGGCGCCGCGGCCACGGCCTCTCGCCCCGTGGCGCGCCTCTGCGAGGCCGGGGGTCAACCCCGATCCACCGCACGGGAGCCGACGTCCTGGTGCCCCAGCGGGCGGTGGGTACGGGTATGACTACCTACCAGACCACCCCAACCCAACCCGAAGACCCGAATTTGACCCGAATTTCGGGTTGGGGGGGGTACGGGTTCCATGTGTTTTCTCAATATTCCCCGACCCCCCCCCCCCCCACCGGAAATCGAGGATAAATCTGGGCCTTCGGGTTGGGTTGGGGTGGTTTGGTGGGTGGTGAGGGTAGGTGTTTTGGCCCCCGAGGACCCGAATAGATCCATATCCGCCACAGGTTCCGCGAAGTTCGACCGCCCCGGGCGGTGGTCATGGAACAGTTTACGTCGGGCTGGTCCTCCTACAGGGGGATCTTGGACGAAAAATGCAAACATAATTTAAAAAATGCCCCCAAATGGTCAAAATATGCTCACAAAATCGTCCCCAGACTATTTTCTTACTGTTTTTGAATATTCCTCCTGTAGAGGGACAGGCCACTTTACGGACCTTCGTCGTGAAAGCGGGCCTTACCTTGGCCGCCCTGCGCCTCTGGAGAACTGGCCGCAGACTTGTCCTCCACCTCTGGGCACAGTGGTCGTGATGTCCAGGCCGTACTTCGCACAGTGGGGTTTATTCGTGGTCGCTCGCCCATGTCCTTCGCATAGCCTTGGCCTCACGACTGTTCCCCACTGTCGGATCAGGACCGTGCCTCGAGAATACAAAGGCCTCCTTGGTCGCCCTTTTAGCGCCCCAAAGAAGCCCTGCAATCGAGGTGCCCCCTGCGGCCCGATACCGCCACTCTCCTTCGAGCACCCGGCCACGGGCTGCCCCTGTGTTGCGCCCCACCGCTCTGGGAGGTGGAAGACCCAAGGGGGGGCGTGCGAGCGGTGTCTCGCAAGCCCTTCCCGCATGGTCTCTGCAAGAAGCGTGCCTGTGACCCTGGGCCGCCGTGCTCCTCCGCGCAAGCGGCCACAGCCTTGCCCCTCGCGTCCTCCGACGTGATCGGGCGACCGGGGATCCTGCTCACGGTCCGAGTGTAAACCCCACGTTGCCGGCACTCGGCCATGGCACTGCTCCTACGTTGCCACAGGAGTCCCCGAACATCGCATCAACCACGGGGATACAACAAGGTACCGATACCGCGACTCCCCGGACCTCTCCTGGGGCGGGTTCTGACCAGGATTTCGAGGCGAATCCAGCGGTGGCGACGAGGGCCACCCACCAGGCCCACAAAGAGTAGGGAGGCGAAGGAAGGGTAGCGGTGTGGGTATGGCTCCTCCTCTGAGCTCCTACGCTACCGCACGCTTCCCCGAACATCGTACCAACCGAAGGGAACGGACCATCCCCGATTGTCGGTCCACAATGGGACGCACAGAGACATACTAATACTGTATGTCCTCCTTGGAGGCGCGCGTCCGACGCGAACGTACAGTATACCCATCTTGTAGCAGATCGTTTCCCGAGCAGTGTGGCCAGAAAGCGCCCGCCACGACGCGCATGTACTATAAGATTTCTCGGTGCGCGCGTCGCTCCTGGGGTGGCGACGCACATATTGACGAATGAACAACACACACCCATAGCCATAGGGGGGTCGTTGGGAGGAG